TCAGATATATAGTGCCATGAAACAATCTTTCTAAGGAAGACTTTGGCATCATCAAAATTATAACTGAACTGTGCAACAGAGATGTTATCATAAAAATTATATTCACCGAGTGTTTAGATAATGTTTCACTGTAACACTGTTCACTTAGGGTTTATATTATATGTCACTGTTCACTAAGTGTGTAGCTCATGTTTCACTGTTCACTGTGTGTTTACATAATATTTTACTGTTTGTTGTTACAGTAGTCAGATATGTAACATAACACATTTACTGAGGGTTTAGATATTGTAATACTGTTTTTAGATTAGAGTTTACATGATTATACAATGTTCACTGATGGTTTAAATGATGGTGAACTATTAACTTATGGGTTAGGTTTACTGAGGGTTTATAATTAGAAGAAAGAACACCTCTTTTAGATGATGGTGCACTGTTAACCATTGGTTTTTTGTAATAGTACACTTTTCTCTAAGGGTTTAGGTGATGGTACATTGTTTACTGAGGTTTAACATTGTTTACTGAGGTTTAACATTGTTTACTGAAGTTTAACATTGTTAACTCAGGTTTAACATTGTTTACTGAGGTTTAACATTGTTTACTGAGGTTTAACATTGTTTACTGAGATTTAACATTGTAAACTGAGGTTTAACATTGTTTACTGAGGTATAACATTGTTTACTGAGGGTTTAACATTGTTTACTGAGATCTAACATTGTTTACTGAGATTGTTAACTGAGGTTGAACCTTGTTTACTGAGGTCTAACATTGTTTACTGAGGTTTAACATTGTTAACTGGGGTTTAACATTGTTTACTGAGGTTTTAACATTGTTTACTGAGGTTTAACTTTGTTTACTGAGGTTTAACTTTGTTTACTGAGGTTTAACTTTGTTTACTGAGGTTTAACATTGTTAACTGAGGTTTAACTTTGTTTACTGAGGTTTAACTTTGTTTACTGAGGTTTAACATTGTTTACTGAGGTTTAACTTTGTTAACTGAGGTTTAACTTTGTTTACTGAGGTTTAACATTGTTAACTGAGGTTTAACTTTGTTTACTGAGGTTTAACTTTGTTTACTGAGGTTTAACATTGTTAACTGAGGTTTAACTTTGTTTACTGAGGTTTAACATTGTTTACTGAAGTTTAACATTGTTAACTGAGGTTTAACATTGTTTACTGAAGTTTAACATTGTTTACTGAGGTTTAACATTGTTTACTGAGGTTTAACATTGTTTACTGAGAGTTTACAAGATGGTACACTGTTCTCTTAAGACGATGGTAATAAGCTATCAGTATAGAACAAGGAAAGAGTATATTGTAGTCTGTTTTACTTTGTGATCTTTTAAAGTATTTATCATTAGACTGTTCTAGTATAACTGAAAGGGCCTGTCATACAAAATCATTTAAACAGTATAAGGGAAGATGCTTTTCCTCTTTCTACTACATCAACATAAAGCAACAGGTAGAAGTATTAGAATATGTATGATTTGTCAAAGATGTCTGTCTTATACAGGATATTATAAAGAAGAAATTAATCAAGAGAGAAGTTATTAAAACTAGTGTAAGGTCATTAGATAGAACATAAAGCTTTCTCCGATAATTAGATCCATGTATTAGAGAAAAACTAATAAAAGTGTTAGTTTTAATACCTCTGATATTCCCTGAATAATAATAATTCATTAACAAAGAATTACATTTCTTGGGATTTTTTTTCCAGTATCTCTGATAATTATTAAAAGATTTTTTAGTAGCTTAATTTTTTGTTTTGTTAAATTGGAATAATGAAGGTATGATGTTTTTATCTTATAGTTTAATTATTTCTATAGGATGTCTGTCACAGAGTGGTTATAAAGGCAATGCTAATGATTATTTAAAAAAAAAAAGACTATACAAATTGCTTTTTGTTAATTTTACCCCTTACATTTTTTCAGAATTTTCATTTTACCCCTCACTCTTGATTTTGAGTGGCCAATAAAATTATTTAGAAATCTGAATCGTTAATTATATATTTGTGCTCCTCAAGTTGGCCTTATTTGAGTGAAAAGTGTTGAAACTCTTCAATTTTTGGTCATTTTTCACAAGTAAAATAAATATTCTGGAAAACAGAGTGAGGGAATGATCTGAGATTTTGCACATTAGTTATTTGTCTAGACCTTCATCAAATGGAACATTAATCTCGAAAAACTATTTCCAGTCATGTAATGTCAAAAAATCTAAGTGGAGTCCCTTTAAAGTTTAATAAAAGTTTTTAAAGTAGGGAAAATTTTATTGTTTTATCAAACCTGTTGTGTTATTATACTGAGAAACAGTTGGAACACTCTTTATATAAATGTAAATTATAATTGAGATGTAAATGTACATTAAAATACATAAAGTGATTTGACCTTTGAAGTATTTTAACTGATGTGATATTTATATTACATTGTAATTGCTTCTTACTTATTATGGCTACTGTCATATAACTATGATTAAAATTTCAAAACAAACAATATTGTTATTCAGATAAAAAGGGGGAAACCTAAAATCAAATTCAAACTATGGAGAATGGAATTTATCCACACCTTTGATACAATTTTCAATTTAACATGCATGGTACATAGCAGAGGCTATCTACAGTGACAGCTTTCTGTCTTTCAGTCAATTAAAATCAAGTAACTGATATAATTCAGCTGCTCTGGTGAAGAATGTGCACATGTATGGAATTTCAGGGGGAAATACAGTATTTTTAGCTGAAAATATACCTATTCTAGGTTAGGAGAAACAGCATGTATTTGGCTGTGAAATGTAGAAAACAATCACTGATTGTTAAAGACTATTGGTCAAGATTTGAAGTATTTTGCTTGTGTGTCTATAAAAAGTTAGATTGATTCTGTTTAATTGGTTCAGACAAAAATTGCTGTGAGTCAAATTAATTGTGTTCAAAATAACCAGCTTAAGTGCTGGTGAGGGTTTAAGGTATATTAGATGTATAATTAACACATTTTCAAAAGGCATTTAAAATTTTTTTATATTAATGAACTGTATTATTTTCTGGACATGACTCTAGAAACAAAATTTCCAGAGTTATTCCCCTTGAACTTTGAATTTTCCTTAAAAAATGTTATTTTTTAATCTTACTTAATTATATTTCTTAAGGTATATTCTTCAAACTTCAAATATATGTTCCTTATCATCACCATCATGTTTGACAAAATTTATAACTCAAGCACAGTTTTATTAAGAATTATCCCCTCTTGAACTTGGAATTTTGTTAGAAAAAAAATGTTATTTTGCTCTAACTTCTTTATTTTTAAAGGATTTACTTTAAACTTAAAATTTAAGTTTCATATTAACTACAAGATTCATAACTTTGGTGTCAATTATTTCAGAATTATCTTCCCCTTAAAGTTAGAACTTTTTTCATTTTCTTTTTGTGACTTCTTGATTTCTTCAGGGATTTATTTCAGCAATCGGAGCGTCCTCGGCTTTTTAATCTATAATAACCTCAGAAACGAGTGAAAGTTAAGCTTACCACATGGTTTCAGATGCTCTTCCATAATGTTAAACAATTGCACATATAATTGACATCCAAAAGAAAATTAAGTCTGTTTTGGTACAATTATGATTGAAAATATGTCTGACAACCATTTTTGTATTTTCTGATCGCAGATCAGTAAATACAATGCTGACATTCAATCTCTGACACAGAAGCTTCACGACAAACCTAGCAACAAGTAGTTCTCAAAACAGCTTAAAACTAGCGATGTAAAAGAAAGAAATATTTTTATTTTGTAGGAAATAATGTTGTGAGAATATTTTATCAAAATCATTATTCTTACCTGTGCAATCAATCGATTGAATAATTAATGGATAGCGGTATTCATGTACTGATCTTAATCTAGAGCATCTTGACATTTCAATTAAAACAGTTTGTTTTAACCGAGGAAATTTACATGTTTTTCGTCTTTTGGGACTTCAAAAAATGGTTTGCTATATCCGAAAATTCATTTTAAGTGAATACGTATTAAGTGATGTGATTTAATATAAATAAAGAAGGAATCGGATGGGGATGTCAGATTTAGTTCGCTATTAACGATAATTCGTTATAAGCGAGTTCGTTGTAAGTGGAGTCGACTGTAAATGATTTTTGATGCAACTCTAGTCATGCAAAATTCGGTATCTATCAAACTTAAACTTTTATAGTAAAATATCCAAACGCAGTCGCTGCATCCTGGTGCCCTGCAAGGTGAATTAAAGTATATAAAAATAAACTTATACAGGAAAATACATACATATATACAGTACGATTTAGATTGCAAAGATCAGAAAATACCACAGAGCTTGCAGCCCTTTGATTAATTTAAATATGCCCACTGATGAAACAAATGAGACTAAATGTCAACAGGTTGGCATTTCAGTTTCTACAACCATAATAATAAATATACAAATATAATGTCTTGTTTGCTTTTGTATCTATGAAGTCACTTATTTTAGGTGGATGATGATTTACTTGATATATTGGAAATGACTTGTCAACAACTCACAACATTAAATTATTATTTGTTTACATATCTAGTTTCTTAGTGTAGGATAGACTGAAATACTGTATCCATTCTGTGTATTTATATTATTGTGTTTGAGGTCCTTATCTGAAGACTGATGGAAAGGGCCGAAAAGTTGCGATTGTCATTTCCGACTTTACTTAATCAAAAATTTTCAGTGCACGCAAAGCTGTGTTATTTTCAGACTTGTTTTTCATTTGTCAAAATTTCCTGTTGATTTTCTTAGGTTAAGTACATTTAATGCAGTTCCATCCGTCAAAAAACATGTTCTTATTTGACAAAATGGCATGTATGGTTATTTTGGCAATTACAGTGGCTTGTTATATTAATGTTTCAGAAACTTGTATTTGTAAAATCATATGATTACAGCTGTAAAAATACCAAAACTATGATATAAAGCTACTACAAAATATAGTTACCATGACAACATTGTATGTCATTTGAGTATTTTGTATTTTTCAGGTTGTTTTAGTGAGATGGAATGAGCCATATCAGAAGTTAGCTACATGTGATGCTCAGGGAATTATTTTTGTGTGGATAAAGCATGAAGGAAGATGGTCTATAGAACTTATCAATGACAGGAACTCTCAGGTAGGTATCTGAGTTGATGTTTTTATGTCAATATTTAATAACACCTCAACTTACTAAGGTAAAATTCCAGCCATACTTATTATTACATGCACAGGTTATAACTTACTGGGTAAAACAAACATCTGCAAGCCATTCTGGTAGTCTCTGTTCAGTTCTTAGTGAAGCATTTGTTGTTCTTTCAGTATATCCCCATCACATTAAGTAAATAGGCTTTTTTGGAATCAGTCTGTTGTTTTGATTGGTCTGGCCATCAGTTTGTCCTTTTTTCCACCGTGTCCACTTATACCTCTTGACAAATATTCTTTCAAACTTGGTTTACAGTTGTTCACCTCAACAAGGCAATAGACAACATCCATGCTGCTGCTGTGTTGGCTCAAAGTCAAGGTCACCCTTAATTGTTAATTGTAAATATCAGGCAATTTTGACCTTTAAAGTATTTTCATCAAATTTTGGTCACATGTTCACCACCACCATCATGCCAGCTCAAGGGCAAGGTAACCTTAAAGTTCAAATGTCAGATACTTTTGTGTCCTTTCTTCTACTTCTTGAAGGTCGAATTACTTCAAACTTGGCTAAAATGTTCACCTCCATAGAGCAATTTGCAGAACATATGCCACTCAATTCAGCTCAAGGTCACCCTTGAAGGTCAAATGTCAATTTTTGTTCTATAAAGCCTAAATAGTGATAAATTGTGATTTAAATCCTGTGCCAGATGTAGAGATGTTGTGGGCTATTGGTACTTTCTGTGACAGCTCTAGTTTGTTATGCATTCTGCTAAAATTAAACACTTCCCAAATTTTGAAAATCTAGTAGATTATATGCTTTATTGTTAGATTTCACTAAGAAATGCGTTTTATATTTTATAACTTTAACAGTGTTCTGTTAATCCAAGAAATTCCTGAGTAGTATTGTTTTAACAGAAAATTACCCACTACAATTTAAACAGCAGCATTTCCTGGCAACCATACAAAAAGCTTTACTAGAACAGAAATCAATCATTATAAATAAGTTACAGTCAAATTGAAATTGTAAATTTTAAACTTTTTAAAGACAATTACATTCAAATAATCATAGACACTGGTAACAGAAATCTGATATTTTAATTCATATGTTGCATGTTTGACAAATTGGTTATGGGAAACTAAATTGACAATGTAAAGTTTTGATATATCACTGTTGTCAGATGTTCTCTCGTAGCTATGGTTACAATTATTATAAAAGATGTTGTTGATTGTAGGTGACAGACTTTGCATGGTCACATGATGGCCGAATGGCGTTGATATGTTACTGTGATGGTTTTGTGTTGGTTGGGTCAGTAGCTGGTCAGAGGTACTGGTCATCTATGCTCAATTTGGACAATACCTCAATAACCTGTGGTGTATGGTCTCCAGATGACCAGAAGGTTTGTTTTATGTACTGCAGTTATTTTTACTCAATTCTCCATAGCACATCTAAATTTTCATCAAAATGTAAACATAATTTTATTCATGCCATGACAAATTTAGTCCATGTTTTTAGCTCACCTGTCACAAAGTGACAGGGTGAGCTTTTGTGATCGCTTTTCGTCCGGCGTCCATCCGTCCGTCGTCCGTCCGTCGTCCGTCCGTCCGTCCGTCCGTAAACTTTTGCTTTAAATGACATCTCCTCATAAACCACTGAGCCAATTTCATCCAAACTTCACAGGAATGTTCCTTTGGTGGTCACCTTTAAAAATTGTTCAAAGAATTTAATTCCATGCAGAACTCTGGTTGCCATGGCAACCAAAAGAAAAAACTTTAAATATCTTCTTTTAAAAAACCATAAGAGCTAGAGCTTAGATATTTGGCATGAAACATCTTCTAGTGAGTGTCTACAAAGTTTGTTCAAATAAAAGCCCTGGGGTCAAAATTGGCCCCGCCCCTGGGGGTCATTGATTTTCCCTATATGCATATAGTAAAAACTTAAAAAATCTTCTTTTAAAGAACCGTAAGAGCTAGAGCTTAGATATTTGGCATGAAACATCTTCTAGTGAATGTCTACCAAGTTTGTTCAAATAAAAGCCCTGGGGTCAAAATTGGCCCCGACCCAGGGGGTCATTGATTTTCCCTATATGCATATAGTAAAAACTTAAAAAATCTTCTTTTAAAGAACCCAAAGAGCTAGAGCTAAGATATTAAGCGTGAAACATCGTCTAGTGAGTGTCTACCAAGTTTGTTCAAATTAAAGCCCTGGGGTCAAAATTGGCCCCGCCCCGGGGGTCATTGATTTTCCCTATATGCATATAGTAAAAACTTAAAAATCTTCTTTTAAAGAACCATAAGAGCTAGAGCTTAGATATTTGGCATGAAACATCTTCTAGTGAATGTCTACCAAGTTTGTTCAAATAAAAGCCCTGGGGTCAAAATTGGCCCCGACCCAGGGGGTCATTGATTTTCCCTATATGCATATAGTAAAAACTTAAAAAATCTTCTTTTAAAGAACCCAAAGAGCTAGAGCTAAGATATTAAGCATGAAACATCTTCTAGTGAGTGTCTACCAAGTTTGTTCAAATTAAAGCCCTGGGGTCAAAATTGGCCCCGCCCCGGGGGTCATTGATTTTCCCTATATGCATATAGTAAAAACTTAAAAAAATCTTCTTTTAAAGAACCATAAGAGCTAGAGCTTAGATATTTGGCATGAAACATCTTCTAGTGAATGTCTACCAAGTTTGTTCAAATAAAAGCCCTGGGGTCAAAATTGACCCCGCCCCAGGGGGTCATAGATTTTCCCTATATGCATATAGTAAAAACTTAAAAAATCTTCTTTTAAAGAACCCAAAGAGCTAGAGCTAAGATATTAAGCATGAAACATCTTCTAGTGAGTGTCTACCAAGTTTGTTCAAATTAAAGCCCTGGGGTCAAAATTGGCCCCGCCCCGGGGGTCATTGATTTTCCCTATATGCATATTGTAAAAACTTAAAAAATCTTCTTTTAAAGAACCATAAGAGCTAGAGCTTAGATATTTGGCATGAAACATCTTTTAGTAAATGTCTACCAAGTTTGTTCAAATAAAAGCCTTGGGGTCAAAATTGACCCTGCCCCAGGGGGTCATAGATTTTCCCTATATGCATATAGTAAAAACTTAAAAAATCTTCTTTTAAAGAACCCAAAGAGCTAGAGCTAAGATATTTAGCATGAAACATCTTCTAATAAGTGTCTACCAAGTTTGTTCAAATAAAAGCTCTGGGGTCAAAATTGGCCACGCCCCAGGGGGTCATTGATTTTCCCTATATGCATATAGTAAAAACTTAAAAAATCTACTTTTAAAGAACTCAAAGAGCTAGAGCTAAGATATTTAGCATGAAACATGTTCTAATGGGTGTATACCAAGTATGTTCAAATAAAAGCCCTGGGGTCAAAACTGGCCCCGCCCGGGGGGGGGGGGGTCATTGATTTTCCTTATATGTGTATAGCAAAAACTTAAAAATCTTCTTTGGAAAAACCCAAATAGCTAGAGTTTAGATATTAAGCATGAAACATCTTTAAGTAAATATCTACAAAGTTTGTTAAAATAAACGCCCGGGGGTCAAAACTGGCCCTGCCCCAGGGGTGACATTGTTTTTAACTATATGTGTATAGTAAAAACTTTAAAAATCTTCTTTTAAAAATGCCAATGAGCTAGAACTTAGATGTTTAGCATGAAACATCTTCTTATGGGTGTCTACCAAGTCTGTTCAAATAAACAAATAAAAGCCCTTGGGTAAAAATTGGCCCGGGGTGGGGGGCCTATATACAGGTGAGCGACCTCAGGGCCATCATGGCCCTCTTGTTTTTATTTTTTAGTCAATTAGCTATTTCAATGTTTGAGGTTGTAAAATTATGAGTTTAATCCTGCAGATATTCTGGTTATTTTGTGAGTTGATTATATAATTATGTTGTATTCATAATTAGGTTATGTTTGGTACAACAGATGGGCAGATTATTGTGATGTCATCACAGGGTGCCATGGTAACTCAAGTTACTGTATTAGAAGGTATGGAGATCACTACTTTATTATGGTCATGTGAAAAATTCAACATGGAAGAAGAAGAAGGCAACCAGGAGACAGATCAGAGTGGACCTAGTCAAGACAGTAAGTGTAGACTACTCGTTTTAGTTTATACAGAATTTATTTTAGTTTGATTGTTTAGGAAGCTATGAGCTTAAAGAAACATTCTTGAGTCTGCTCCTGGAACTAATCAGTACTAAGGAATTTCTGTAAAGTTTCTAGCTCAAAGATCAACTGTTTAACCCTGATTGGATTTGAACACACTCTGCTAGTGATTCTAAAATTAGTATTCTGATGCAATGTATGCTTTAGTTTGATAGAGTTGTTGAAACTCCTGGCATATGCTTCCGATTTTTTCATTTTTTTTGCTCCCAGAAGGGAGCATAAGGACCAGAATTGAAATTAAGGACCACAATGATAAATAAATTATAAAATAGCTCTTAGCAAAAAAACATTATGTTGAGTAATTCTGCTGTGACCCTGACCTTAAAATGACCTTGCCCTTTCCGGTCAATTTATGGAATGTGTAAGTACAGTCCTAAATGTTCTTTTTTCAATGTTTAAACTAAGTTTTTATGGTATATGTGGATAAAATGTTTGATCTTCCCATATGTATCATTGATATTAATGCAGCAGTTAGATCATGAACCACAGAATGTGGAAGTAAGTAAGCAAGTAAGAGATTTGTGTAATTTGATAGGTTTACGTGGAGAAAAAAAGACAAGATGATCGAGATAGAGATTTTATGGAAGGCTTCTTGATGATAAAAATTGTAATTTATTTTCCTCTTTTATGGAATACTGGAACACAAACTGATTGTTCTGCTTTTGAATATATACAATCATGCAAAAATACAAAAATAAAAAAATGAATTAATGTACATTTTTGTAGTCATCTGATATTAAGAGTTTTGATTTTGAATGAAAATATATATGAATATTTATCACAGTGTATTTTTCTAAGGTATGAAGTGATTTGAGAGAAATGTAGAAATGTGGTTGATATTTGTATGATATATATTTATATGTTTTTTCGTTTGTTATTGTGTATATATTTAGTCAGTGTTATATAGAGTGTTTTATCTGTGTTTTCCTATCTTCTAGCTAATAGGAAATGTTATAGATTTAGGTTGTCTTATAAGATTAGTGTCAGATACAATCAGGCTGTATATTTAATGCTCAGTAGTGTCACTTCCAGGGAACAAAATATCTATTTCTGTCTCCCATACTCAATCATTGTCTTACAATTCTCTCTCTCTCTGGGACCTTATAGCTTTCCAAACAAAGTCAAACAATATCCCATAAAATGAGAACAGTTCTAGGTTTGCCATTCCTGAGCTCACGGAATTCAATGAATATTCATACCAGTTTTTTATTGTTTGATTTAATCAGTGGCAGAAAAAACGACTGCTGAATCTATAATGAAAGTTATGTGTTTTTATCTCTTGAAGAAGAAATGTCAGATTTTTAACTGAGATGAATTTTTATGAAGTCAGAAATTGTTTAGTTTAAATAAACTGAAGTTTTTGTTACTTTTAGTATGTATATGGGAGTTAGTGCTATTTTGTCATTTCAGATTAATTAGATAATCCCATGTTTATAAAAAAATTTGAATTAATTCAACAAAAACTTGAGACCTCTTGTTAAGGAATGAAGTGTATAAAGAAGTTATAAAGGCCTTCACACTGAAGATAATAGTGTAAATACTTCTTTATGAATATTTGTAAATTAACAGAAAAGACTTTTTAATACTATTCTCTGACAAATTTAGTCCTAGTTTCTGCCTAATCCGAAGATATTAGTGATAGTCAACTTGTTAACCTATCTCTCCTTTTATATTTTAAATATAGCATACTATGCTTTTCTGATTGTTACATAGAACAGTTTTAATAACAAACATATTCTCCAACTATCAGATCCATTCAGATTTTTAATCAGCAATTTATTGTTGGGTGTATAACAAGTAGATGTATATGTAATATGAATATATGAAAGTTATCAAGCATGTAATCTTACTGATGTATATGATTATTTTTCTCAGGAATTTCATTGTGTTTTCAACATGAGTGATATATTTTCATCATGAGTCTGATATATTTTATTTTTATCATGAATCTGATATATTGTATTTTCATCATGAATTCGATATATTGTATTTTTATCATGAATCTAATATATTGGATTTTCATGAATCTGAATATTGGATTTTCATCATGAAACTGATATATAATATTGTATTTTCATCATGAATCTGATAATATTTATTGTATTTTCATCATGAATCTGATATATTGTATTTTCATCATGAATCTGATATATTGTATTTTCATCATGATTCTGATATATAGTATTTTCATCATGAATCTGATATATTGTATTAAATATTTCTACATTAGTTTGCTATATAGATGATATTGAATGGGTGTAGAATGAATAATAGATTTATTGAACAAGATTAAAGTCATATGCGAGCCTCTGGCTAGCATAATATATATTTTTAGTTTAATAAATTTAGTATAGAGTTCACACAAATATAATATTATATTTATCACATATCTTAAATAAGAATGTGATGAAATGTGTTAACCTATACTGACAAACTTCTAGTAATATTCATGTCTACCAGAATCAAGCAATTCATAAAGAATTCAGCCATTCAAGTTTATGTGTTTGTGTTTAAGAGTCTGTGACAACATATCAAATATTTACATTTTGAGAGACTTAAATCATTCATTCATATAGCTAAACAAGCCATGTGTACCTCAGAAGTTTTATTAGTTTTTGCTACTGATGATAAAGTGAATTATGAGTAAAGTAATATGTTTATAGGGTATTTATATTCTCCTGATGATTGCATTGCTTCATTATATATAAATAATAAAGTAGATATATTGTCTACTTATTCTTCCGTATGAATAGTTAATTATTTTTGCTAGTCAGTTCAATAAGTATTGACAATTACATGCATTATTGGGACATAACCAAAATTAGAAGTAGATCTGTAAGTCGAAAAATTCAGCAGAACAATGTCTGTTGTTGGTTATTAATGTATATCATTGTGAAAACACATATAAGATGATATTTATATTATCAAAGATGCTTGTAGAATAATAGTGTGTTATTTTACCGTGTAATTGTGGTATTTCTGGTCAATCACTATTGCAAGAGCAACATATGTTTATGACTAAATGATAAAATTACAATTATATAATATTACTTAAGAAAAAAAGATTATTTTTGCTTTTTTTTTAACAGACACTGGAGTCTGTTGTAAGTTTTATAATACTTTACAGTTTCTTTGGATACTGCAGTCTTTAAGTGCTAAATTGTTTTGGTTTGATTGGTCTTTTTCTACAAATCTAAATATAAATTGCATTCACATATTTATGTATACACACACATGCTTTTAAAGTAAATCTGTAAACATTTTTGTTTAACTATTTTGATAAAAAAATCCATAAACTAACAATGGACTGTCGTAAAGTCAAAACAGGTGTTGTTATTAACATGAATTCAGCAGAATAAGGTTTGTAATTTTCTTTCAGAAACTTCCTCAACACCTGTAGAGAAGAATTATATGTTAGCTGTATGTTTCAAGTATGGTGCCATTTATTTCATGACAAGCTATGATGATCAGTGTCCAAAAGTTGTACATAGTATGTTAACTGGTAAGTAGCTTCTTAAATCCTCATAGAAATATAGCTTTCCTGTTTGATGCCACTTATCCTAAAAATGTCTTTATACAACATCTATTCCGAAGTCATGGAGAAGAATTCTGATATTTATAACATGCTTTAACTCTAGTGCTGCTAAAATGCTGCTGACAGAATTATGATATTTAAAACAAGCAGTAACTCTAACACTGCTGACAGATGCTGTAACTCTTACGCTGCTGACAAATGCTGTAACTTTAACACTGCTGACAGATGCTTTAACTCTAACACTGCTGACAGATGGTTTAACTCTCACACTGCTGACAGATGCTTTAACTTTTATGATGAAGAACAGATGCTTTAACTCTAACACTGTTGACAGATGCTTTAAGTCTAACACTGCTGACAGATGCTTTAAGTCTCATGCTGCTGACAGATGCTTTAACTTAAACACTGCTGACCGATGCTGTAACTTTAACACTGCTGACAGATTCTTTAACTCTAACACTGCTGACAGATGCTTTAAATATCATGCTGCTGACAGATGCTTTAACTTTAACACTGCTGACAGATGCTTTAACTCTAAGACTGCTGACAGATGCTTTAACTCATGCTGCTGACAGATGCGTTTACTTTAAGACTGCTGACAGATGTTTTAACTCTAACACTGCTGACAGATGCTTTAAATCTAACACTGCTGTCAGATGTTTTAGCTCAAACACTGCTGACAAATGCTTTTAATCTAAAACTGCTGACAGATGCTTTAACTCTTACACTGCTGACAGATGGTTAAAACTCTAACACTGCTGACAGATGCTTTAACTGTAACACTGCTGACAGATGCTTTAACTCTTATGCTGCTGACAGATGTTTTAGCTCTAACACTGCTAACAAATGCTTTAATTCTAACACTGCTGACAGATGCTTTAACTCTAATGCTGCTGACAGGTGCTGCTATAACTTTATTGTGCTGACAGATGCTTTTACTCTTACACTGCTGACAGATGCTTTAACTCTTATGCTGCTGACAGATGCTTTAACTTTAACACTGCTGACAGATGTTTTAACTTTAATGCAGCTGACAGATGCTTTAACTCTAATGCTGCTGACATATGCTTTAACTTTAACACTGCTGACAGATGCTTTAACTCTAACACTGCTGACAGATGCTTAAATGCTCACACTGCTGACAGATGCTTTAACTTTAAGATTTCTGACAGATGCTGTAACTCTAATGCTGCTGACAGATGTTTTAACTCTTATGATGCTGACAGATGCTTTAACTCTAAGACTGCTGACAGATGTTTTAACTCTAACACTGCGGACATATGCTTTAAATCTAACACTGCTGACAGATGGTTTAACTCTCACACTGCTGACAGATGCTATAACTCTAACACTGCTGACAGATGCATTGACTCTAACACTGCTGACAGATGGTTTAACTCTAACACTGCTGACAGATGTTTTAACTCTACACTGCTGACAAATGCTTTAATTATAACACTGCTGACAAATGGTTTAATTCTAACACAGCTGACAGATGCTTTAACTCTTACACTGCTGACAGATGCTTTAACTCTAACACTGCTGACAGATGCTTTTACTCTTATGATGCTGACAGATGCTTTAACTCTAACACTCTAGAAGGGGAGCAGTGGCCTAGTAATTAAGATGTCTGCCTCTCAACCCAGAGTTCATGGGTTTGAGCCCTACTTGGGTCATGACCATGTTTCATCATATGTTAGAAAAATAATATTGCTTGACATGATTTGTTGCCTGTCATTGGTTCTCCTTTAGCCTGTAATGTGAGATTGGGAAACATTCTCTAACATGCAATATTTGTTAGATGTCAGAGCTGTAACAATGGATGTTTTTCTACAGAAAAAGAAACTCATTAGAGGGGGTTATTGTAACCATATTAATTAAATAACATAATGTCACCAACACAGCCTAATTGTAAATATCACACTATAAATGTCCTACTTTAAACATGCAACAATTATTAGCCAGTTTCTTAGAAAGGTGAACATGTTTTATTGATGCAATCTGATTTATGTGCACAGTCTTATTGCTGTATACCTAAAGCTAGAATATAAGAAATAATATATACAATACTGACAATAAAAATGAGACTAATATACAAGAGATCAAGAGGTAATTCCTATGTCTGTGAACCATTGTGTTTTCTATTTTCTTTTTTAAATTTTACCACAGATTTATACAACATATCTTACATCTCACTGTGAACATTTACATGATTATCTTCCATATTAATGGTTACAATAAATATGTCTTGACTTTTTACAATTTGTTAATATCAATTTACTTAATTACATTCCTTTCAGAAGTAGATTGCTGAAATATAAAAGTGAAAAATATTTGATAAATGCAGAAAGCATGACATCATTTATCATCACATCTGATATTCACTCAATGAGCTTTAATTAAATCTTACACTGAAAGAATGTGTCATCTGTAGCTAATAGGTTAAATTATGAATGACTTCCTCCTCACTGATGTGGCTGATAAGTTAAACTGTAAATGTCTTCCTCCTCACTGATGTGGCTGATAAGTTAAACTGTAAATGTCTTCCTCCTCACTGATGTGGCTGATAAGTTAAACTGTAAATGTCTTCCTCCTCATTGATGTGGCTGATAAGTTAAACTGTAAATGACTTCCTTCTCACTGATGTGACTGATAGGTTAAACTGTAAATGGCTCCCTCCTCACTGATGGATGGGTGATATGTTAAACTATAAATGACTTCCTCCTCACTGATGTGACTGATAGGTTTAACTATAAATGGCTTCCTCCTCACTAACTGATGGGTGATAGGTTTCACTATAAATGACTTCCTTCTCACTGATGTAGCTGATAGGTTTAACTATAAACAGCTTCCGCCTCACTGATATGGCTGATAGGTTCAATTGCAAATGATTTCCTCCTATCTGATGTGGCTGATAGGTTAAACTGTAAATGATTTCCTCCTCACTGTGGCTGATTGGTGAAACTGTAAATGACTTCCTCCTCACTGACATGGCTGATAGGTATAACTGTAAATTACTTCCTCCTCACTGTGGCTGATAGGTTAAACTGAAAATGACTTTCTCCTCACTGACATGGCTGATAGGTATAACTGTAAATGATTTCCTCCTCACTGTGGCTGATTGGTGAAACTGTAAATGACTTCCTCCTCAACGACATGGCTGATATGTATAACTGTAAATGATTTCCTCCTCACTGTGGCTGATAGGTGAAACTGTAAATGACTTCCTCCTCACTGTGGTTGATAAGTTAAACTGTAAATTATTTCCTCCTCACTGACATGGCTGATAGGTAAAACTGTAAATGTCTTCCTTCTCACTGATGTGACTGATAGGTTAAACTGTAAATGACTTCCTCCTCACTGTGGTTGATAGGTGAAACTGTAAATGACTTTCTCCTCACTGACATGGCTGATAGGTAAAACTGTAAATGTCTTCCTCCTCACTGATGTGGCTGATAGGTTAAACTGTAAATGACTTCCTCCTCACTGATGTGACTGATAGGTTAAACTGTAAATGACTTCCTCCTCACTGCGACTGATAGGTTAAACTGTAAATTATTTCCTCCTCACTGACATGGCTGATAGGTTAAACTGTAAATGACTTCCTCCTCACTGTGGCTGATAGGTGAAACTGTAAATGACTACCTCCTCACTGACATGGCTGATAGGTTAAACTGTAAATGACTAAACTGTAAATGACTTCCTCCTCACTGATGTGGCTGATAGGTTAAACTGTAAATGACTTCCTCCTCACTGATGTGGCTGATAGGTTAAACTGTAAATGACTTCCTCCTCACTGACATGGCTGATAGGTTAAACTGTAAATGACTTCCTCCTCACTGATGTGGCTGATAGGTTAAACTGTAAATGACTTCCTCCTCACTGATGTGGCTGATAGGTTAAACTGTAAATGACTTCCTCCTCACTGATGTGGCTGATAGGTTAAACTGTAAATGACTTCCTCCTCACTGCGACTGATAGGTTAAACTGTAAATTATTTCCTCCTCACTGACATGGCTGATAGGTTTAACTATAAATGACTTCCTCCTCACTGATGTAGCTGATAGGTTAAACTGTAAATGACTTCCTCCTCACTGCGACTGAATGGTTAAACTGTAAATGACTTCCTCCTCACTGCGACTGATAGGTTAAACTGTAAATGACTTCCTTCTCACTGATGTGACTGATAGGTTAAACTATAAATGACTTCCTCCTCACTGCGACTGATAGGTTAAACTGTAAATGACTTCCTTCTCACTGATGTGACTGATAGGTTAAACTATAAATGACTTCCTCCTCACTGCGACTGATAGGTTAAACTGTAAATGACTTCCTTCTCACTGATGTGACTAATAGGTTAAACTGTAAATGACTTCCTCCTCACTGATGTGGCTGATAGGTTAAACTGTAAATGACTTCCTCCTCACTGCGACTGATAGGTTAAACTGTAAATGACTTCCTTCTCACTGATGTGACTGATAGGTTAAACTGTAAATGACTTCCTTCTCACTGCTGTGACTGATAGGTTAAACTGTAAATGACTTCCTTCTCACTGATGTGGCTGATAAGTTAAACTGTAAATGGCTCCCTCCTCACGGATGTGGCTGATAGGTTAAACTGTAAATGACTTCCTTCTCACTGCTGTGACTGATAGGTTAAACTGTAAATGACTTCCTTCTCACTGATGTGGCTGATAGGTTAAACTGTAAATGACTTCCCTCACTCACTGATAGGTTTAAACTGTAAATTATTTCTCCTCACTGACATGGCTGATAGGTTTAACTGTAAATGACTTCCTCCTCACTGATGTAGCTGATAGGTTAAACTGTAAATGACTGCGACTGAAGTTAAACTGTAAATGAACTGATGTGGCTGATAGGTAAACTGTAAATTACTTCCTCCTCACTGATGTGACTGATAGGTTTGAACTGTAAATGACTTCCTCCTCACTGATGTGGCTGATAGGT